CGAGCCCGGATTTCACAGCCACAGAGACCGGTTAGTTGTTTAGTGATTTCGTGTTTGGCGTCATGAGTGATGGGGTAAGCGTAGAAGTCTTGGGATTCTTCCATGTCATACTCTTGGGCATAAGTGTCTAAGTTGGCGATAAAAGACCGCACGACGGGGGCGTTTTTAGGGGTAAATTGGAAGTGGAGAACGGGTTTAACCTGGAAGTGTTGATAAATGGATTGACTACACTTTTCAACTTCCTTTGGGACATGTTCTTGCTCTAAGGGAGTGTGGAGGAATTCGGCTTTACTACACAGTAATAAAAAGCGAGTAATTAGGAATTCTTGAAAGTCCTGGTTCAGTTGCCCTTTGGGTTTTTTGGCTTGGTAAACTTCTTTTTTAGTGGATTTGGTGAAAAGAGTTAGTAAGTTTAAAGGATTTAAAGAGCGAGTTCCTAAGCGAAAATGTTTTTTATCTAAAAAAGGCTTGTGGACTTGACCGACTAGTTGCTCATTAGTTTTATAGAAGTAAGTGGTTTGCTGGGTTTGGTAGTCGTAATGACGAAATACTTTTTGGTTTTTGGGGAGATGCTGACCAGTTTGAGCATCTAGTTTGTGCTTGCCAATTAGCAGAGCAGGCTTTTGGTCATATTCATATAAATTCTTAAAAAAATGGTAGGCTTTACTGTGTTCTTGAAAACCATGTTGAGTATATAAGGAGCGGAGATGGAAACTTTTTGCTAAGTATTTAGCCAAGTAAGAACTGATGGTTTTATAACCTGGTGAACGGCTTTCCACTCGACCATAAGGTCATAAAGCAGAGATGTAGGCTCGGCAATTTCAACAGGAGGTGAAGTTTTTATCGAGGGTGCATTTATGAGAGTAAGGCACGATGGGGGTGCTTAGTAAGTGGAAGTGTCAAGTGGCAGGTCGGTTATTTTTTGGCTTTTGTAATTCGGCGACGATTACTCTTTTTCAGCGACTAGGTTTTCAGGAAAGGCGAATTTGCCGTAAGAATTTAGTGAGATAGCGATTGGCTTGGATAAAATTACTGGCCTGGTCTTGGGGGATTTTTTGAATGAGGACTTTTAAAGGTTCGGCTTGGTCATCAAAGTTTTGGGCTCAGTCTTTGAGTCAGTTGTTTTTTTTAGCGATAGGTTCTCAGACTGGATCTGCTGAGTTTCAGTTAGTGGTAAAGGCGGAGTAGTTATCGTGGGTGGTGTTGAAAGTTAAAGTAAGAAACAGGACTGGCTGATCCGCTTGGGTTCCCTCAAAGTTAGCTTCCACTTTATCTTTGAAACGGGTGTAGAGTTTTTTTTCTTTAGAATTAAAAAAGGCAAAGTAAGTGCAGTTTTGAGCATCTTTTAAGCAGTCATCTTTTGGTTTAACCGGTTTTGTTTCTGAGATAGATTTAGTTTTCTTTTGTCCTAAATAAAAAGATTGAGCGGAGTTTTTAGATAAGGTAACTGAGATGCGGTTAGTGGATTCAATGTGTTTGGTGGAGACTGACAGGACGGAAAAGGAAGTGTGATCTTGGACTAAAAATGATTTGAGATCTGATTTAGATATCCGCTTTATTTCGGCAAGGTCATTCAGTAGTTTTTTAGGTGATTTAAAACCGGGGGTTGTGTTTCCATTAAATTAAATATGTTTCCAATCGTTGACATGGACATATAACCATTTCCCAGCGAACGAAAAGGAACAAAAACTGGCTGACCACTGCCATCATCGGTACACTTTTTCACCTCCTCCTTGCCTAAGGAATAGTCCATTAGGGCATTTCAGGCTCGTTCTCGCATTTTTTCAATGGCTACCACTTCTTGCCGTTTGGCTTCTAACTGGCTAGTTTTATCCCGCTCAATTTTATCTGCCTCAGCTTTTTTAGCCGCATTTTCTCGGTCTTTAATTAATCTATCTAATTCCTCTTGGGCTTTTTGCTTGTCATCTGCTAATTTTTGTTCAGTTTCGGTTAATTCTTTTCGGTTTTTTTCTTTAAGTTCATTTAATTCCTTTTCTCGTTTAACTTTTTG